CTTCAGTTGGGCGAAGTACATCATAGGGCAACCGTTTTTGAACCAAGTGTGATGGAAGGCATGAGTGGGGAAGGTTCTGGAATGGAGCTTCAAGGTTGCCAGGAGGGGGGGAGACATTCCAGAGGAAGCACCTCAGTCCCCAGCCGGAGTGTGGGAAAGCCAAGAGAATGAGACTGGCCCCTCCCTAGGGCCTCATGGTTATAGTTATTGTTGTGGTGGTATAGATTTAGTCTGGCAAGATGCTGTATATGCTAATAAAGGAGCTAAACTGTTCTGGACTGTCTCGCTGTTGTTCTTGGCCTGAACCTGACACCAAGGTACCTCAAATGGGCTAACTTACAGAATGTGTCCAAAATATGGGGCCCATTACACCTGTGGGATTGAAATTTGGCAAAGTTGTGGCTGCTTAAGTGCCACAGTGCTGCTGCACCACTGTGCTCCGCCATGGTCACATGACCGTCATTTCCAACACTCCCTGCCAGCTTCCAAGGAAAGTCAATGGGGAAGCCAGCAAGGAAGGTTGTAGCTCCTTTCGGGGCCTCCCTGCCCTTGGAAACACGTACACACCCACCAGCACCCTCCTTTCTGGGCCCCTCTGTGCTTGCATATGCCCTGCGCCCTCTTCCCTCAGCCTTCCTACACTCCCACACACACATGCACACACCCACCAGCATCCTCCTTCCCGGGTCTCCCTGCGCCTGCACACACATACCAACACCCTTCTTGCTGACCTTCCTGGGCTCACACGCACCCCACACCCTCTTTCCCCGAATGTACCACAGCACCCCTCTCCACCAACTCGTGTGTGGCCTGCCAGGGTCTCCCTTACCCCGCTGCAGCACCCTTGTGCTTCTTACTTGACTCTTCTTGCGCTTCCCCCTTGCAGCCCCCCTGCAGCATATCACCCCCCTCCTTGATATCTACATATCACACCAAGCCAACCTCAAGGGCAGAATACAAATATGATTTACAACACAAGTGAGTGTGTGTGTCAGAAAGAAAGGGAATGGCATTTAATAACATATACTACATATTTATAACAATTATTAAGAAAACAAATATTAAAACTGAAAATTAATGTTTTAACTGGAAAATTAATGTTTTAACCTTCATGTTTTTCAATTGCTCTACCCTAAACAGTCATTTTTTTTCAGTCAGAGGAACTGAAAAAGGTAGAAATGAAACAATTTTTCTTTAAAAAGGGATGTATAGATTAAGCCATTCCAGGAATCCAGTAAAAATCAGTATGAATGATAAAAATGTTTTTAATAAGTAAGATAAATAAATATTCAGCTGTGGATTCCACTGAATTTGATGGAATTTAAGGAAAAGTGCTTACAGTGTATTAGACCATACAGACAGCGTTTGTAGAAACAGTTTGTATGAATTCTAGCAGTTTATGTCTACTATTCAGGATTTAAACTCTAAGTATAATGAACATAGTTTTCAAATATGTCACTAATACTGTGCCCAAAATCCTATGTTCAAATCTGCAAATTTAATATATTTTTTCTCCACTGAATTGGTTATTATATATCCTTCTAATATTTTATAAGTCACTTAAAAACTCTCTTTTGGAGGTATAAAGCAGGATGTTTTTTTTTTAAAAAAGGTTTTGATTCTACAATAGAATTTAATTAGAAACATTTGACAAATTACTCCCTTTGGTTTTGGGGGGGGGGGTTAATGTACACATTTAATTTTAATGCAAATGAATAAAACAAGTAACATTTCAAAAACAATTTAACTTACATGTGTCTATCTCTGTGTGGGTCTGCACTTGCTATTTCAGTCTCTTCCTTTCATTTCTGTGTTATATTTAAAGTTTTGCCTGATCACATATTCTGGATTGTGAGGCCTTGATGAATTCAGATCATACACCCATACCACTTTATACCTCTGTATGTACAGCAGAAGAGAAAATCAGATGTGCAGAAAGGAAAAGTCAAAAGCTGGATGGGAAATATTTTGGATACAGGAGAGGGGATAGTTATAATCAATACTATATCAAGTTTAAAATCAGATTGTCATTTAGTTTACAAAGGTCAAATCCATTTTCCCATTTAAAAAAAATCCAAAGTACAAAAAAAATGCAAATAATTCAAGCATACTCTTTATAATGATAAATAAGTAATTAAAAGCATTAAGGCCCCTAATTTTCATAAGTCTGTTTAGGTAAGGAAATATCTCTGAGATGATGACCCAAGGGGCTGCTGCAGTCAGCTGCAGTTACAGGATCGTCATTTACAGGGCTCCCTGCCAGTTTCCCACAAGGAAAGTCAGTTCGGAAGTCGCTCCTGCTTCCACTGTTTTTTTGCCCTTGGTCATTCTGTTTCTCTGTTTAGGTAAGGAAATACCTTTGAAACAATGACCCAATGGGTCACATGTTGTCTAGTTATAACTAGAGGCCATGATACTGAGAGGCTTCTGTCACCCCGTATGTTTTCTAATTGAAGGAAGAGCTGTCTATATCAATAAAGAAAACCCAAGAGAAAATGCAAAGGAATGGCCAAGTGGATTTGACTTTTATTAAAACTGAGATGATTGATATACACAAACAGATAACATTTTAAACTTTTTACATTTCAGTGATGTATTCTATACTGTAAGAACACTGAAAAGCGTATTTATTCTATTACTTATCTCTTTCTGTAACATTTGCCATCCTGCACTGCTTAAATTGTTGGTTGTTTCCCCTTTTCATTTACTGTTTCTTGCATTGGAGATTTTTTTGCTTTGGTTCTTTTGCCTATTTTTGGATTTTAAACATACTGTATGTGAATTGTAAACCTTTTTAGTTTGGAAAGCAAACTACAATGTTTTAATCAATAATTAGTTTTTCATGATATTTCAAAGTATTGTTTATTATCAGCTTATCATTTATGGGTTGTTTACAGGTGTCAGAATTTACTTGTTTTGATCTAACTTGGCTGTAATCATCCTTCCCTTCTGGCGAGCAACAACATGATGTCAAATAGAAATAATCTTGCTTACCACAGTCTTATAACAGGTATGCAATTTATAACTTATGGGAATGCTTCTTTAGCATTTAATGACCTGGAGCTATTTACTAATTATGATGCAGTTCAAGTTAGTCTAGGCTATGCATGCTATCTCCTCATTAAGATCTGCTATGATCAAAATAACTTATTCGTCTATAAAACTTTAAGGGTATCTATAGGGTTCATTGTTTGAATATATTCTACACAAGATAAATTTTGGTTTGCTGGCCTCTCAAGTAATGTTGAATCTCTAGTTTTCTGGTTGTTTTAAGAAACCAACAAGACAGTAAATACATTGTTTCAGTCTAACTTTAATTAGCAAGTACTTGTTTACCAACATATGAAATACCTACTCTTCAGTGAAAGTTAATCAATTTCAACTCTGGTTGACCTACAGCTTGGAAAGATCTTCTTACCAAAACAAGCTGTTATGTTTGTATTAACCTGGAAATGCAAGTAAAACCATATCAGAAAACATATTTAGCAAGAAAATATCATAAATACGGCATCATTTTTATTTAAAAATAATGTGGCTAAGTAAAATTAGCACTGTTATATTTCATATTTTACTTCAGTGCATGTTGTATTATTTTTTTAGATGAAAAAAAAAATAAGAGTAGTCAGCCAGCTGTTATGTTCCATTTTTGTCTTGTATTTTGCTTGTGATGATGATGGTGGTGATGAGGATGATGAGGATGAGGATGATTCAATATTGGTTTATATTTTAATGATGCTTACGATGGATTTTTTTTTTTTACTTACTATGGATGTTTTAATTGGTTGTATGTTTTTTTGGACTGCTATAAACTACTATGAGTCTTTATTGATTCACTGGTATACAAATGGAATGAATGAATTAATAAACAAACAAACAAACAAATAAATAAATAAATTCCCCCTATTCTTTTCTCTCCATTGAAGTCATAGACTAGTTAACCAAAGTATTGTACATAAACACAAAATAGTGAGATAACTCTTGGAATTACATTGGGAAGACATGCTAATGTTTCAGTCTCTGGATGAGTTAGAGAGCTGCTGCTAATCAAAATAGACAATAGTGAGCAGGATTATTGCTCCCTCCTCTAAAACCTCTTTATGATTCCATATATTTAATATATGTAGATTTGTAGAAAGACATGCTAATGTTTCAGTCTCTGGATGAGTTAGAGAGCTGCTGCTAATCAAAATAGACAATAGTGAGCAGGATTATTGCTCCCTCCTCTAAAACCTCTTTATGATTCCATATATTTAATATATGT